GCGCGCGCACGCCCCGCAGCCGTTCCGCGCCCCACGCAACCAGGCTCTCGCTCTACCTGGGAGCGGAGTGGGCACCCCAAAGCCCTGAGGCTTCTTAGAGCCCCGGGCCGTCGAACCTCCGCTTTGCCAAGCCCCCATCTCTGTTATTGAGGCGGCCTCCAGCACCAGCTTCTCGCCTCTCCAAGTGGGCTGAGTTCCCCTCCTCCCTGGGGTGCGGGGCCGTGGATTTGGGGAGCAGAGCCCGAGTCCACAGCGGCCCTCCTCTACACGCACCGTCTCCCCGGTGCCTTGTTTATCTTACTCCTGTGGCATTTGGGGTCTCATCTCCTCGGTGGGCGCGATCACGGAGTCGGGAAGGGGATCCAAGAGTGTCGGAAAGGGGAGCGCACCGCCGGCGTCTGAGTACCCCACGCGTGCTTCTCTTCCCCTCCAGGCGCCCCCAGTCCTCCGCCCTGCACCCTCCGAAAACACAAAAACAACCGCAAGCCACGGACGCCCTTCACCACCGCCCAGCTGCTGGCGCTGGAGCGCAAGTTCCGCCAGAAGCAGTACCTGTCCATCGCCGAGCGGGCCGAGTTCTCCAGCAGTCTGAGCCTCACGGAGACACAGGTGAAGATCTGGTTTCAGAACCGCCGGGCCAAGGCCAAGCGGCTGCAGGAGGCCGAGCTGGAGAAGCTGAAACTGGAGGCCAAGCCGCTGCTGCCCGCGTTCGCCCTGCCCTTCCCCCTGGGCACCCACCTTCAAGGCTCCCCGGGCGCTTATGGCGGTGCTACGGGCACCCTGCCTCAGGTGCCAGGACTCTTCGCAGCGCCTATCACCGCTTACGGTGTGTATTACCTCTCCTAGGGGACTTGGCACACGCCTTGCCAGGTGGTGGCCTGGGGGGGCCGGAGGGGAGGGTGGCGCAGGACAGGGCGAGCTGCGCACCCCTTTTCCAGGAAAACCCCCTGCGTCCTGTCCGTCTTCTTTTGTTTTGCTTTTCAGGTTTTTGTTGTTGATACAATGTTATAATTGATGCCTCAAGCTTATTTGTGGGTATCTTACAGATATTTAAGAACTTAAAAAAAATATATTTGTTCTAAACGCTTTCCTGAAAGACAGTGAACACAGTTTCATACGGTGGCCGGGTGGAGCTTCCTATTTTGTACAAGGCAGCCAATAAAGTATTCTGAAGTTTACTCTGTGAGACCTCCCTCCCACACCCCTGCTTCAGTAACCGGCTCCTATCAGAAGGATTCGCCAGATTGTCTTGGGGCAGCAAGAAACGGATTCCCGCAAAAGAAATGAAAAGTTTGGTGCCAGGACTGCTGAAATGAAGGGCACTGATTACTAACTAGGTGTGTTACCATGTGGCAGAATGGAAACTTTCACACGTGGTTTAGGGGATTTTTTCCGTATTTATTTTTTATTAGAAAGCCTGAGGCAAGGTGCTGTCTGTGGACTGTGTCTGTGTCTGTGTGGGGATGTGGGTGTGTGTAGGGGTGTGTCCATGCAGAGGCAGGATGGCCAGGGCCGCAGATGGGCATGGAGAGCATGGTGGGCGGTGTGCACCGCAGGCCCTGTCCGCTGGGCTCCCCAGGGATCCTAGACTGGTGCTAGGCCGGGGAGGAGGTGCTGAGGCTCAGGGTCCATACAAAGGGCACTGGCTGGCATCCTGCTCTGCTCCTTTGCAACACGCTGTCAATTCAGGTCTCTAGGGCCCGAGGGAGGGAGGTGCCGGTCTGACCCTTCCTGAGGCTTCTCCCAGCTGCCTCAGCTCTCCTTCTAGACTCTGCACTGGGACTGTCAAGGTGCCTGGGTGGATGGAAGCCCCCTCGACCATTCAGCCTGATCCTTGCTGTGGGCAGCCCCTTCCCCGCCTTCACCCTGCCTCCCAGCTGTAACCAGGACCCAGAGGTGACTATAGGGAGGGGACGCCGAGCCCCTTCCCCTAGGTCACTGGTGCTGGCTCTCCCTGGGCCTGCCTGCTCAGTTTTATTCACTTGGGGGGCTGCTGAGGTGCTGCCCACAGGAGACAGCTTCGGAGAAGTGGAGAAGTCCCAGAAGTATTGATGATAGTGCCCTAAACTGCCTATTACTGGCCATTACTCTCCCTGTGTTTCTGGAAAATGACAATTCACGATGGATTTTAAATGGAAACTAACCCAATTCTTGAAGTAGAAGCTGCTGGAAATGAGGCTGATAATGGGAGAGGCGTCCTCATAGTCCGCACTGCCATCCCCCCAGGCCTGTGCCGTGGGCTGGGCTGTTTGAACTCAGAGCCCACCTCCAGTCAGGGTCTTCAGGGAACAGACCCGCCTGTTAACACCCCAGAGAAGGTGGTGGGGCCGTGGCACAAAGGGAGCTTGAGAGGGGCTGAAGGGCCTGAGAGCCATGACCCATGACCTGACCCATGTGACTTATGCCTCACAGAGCGTAGTTGTTGCTTTTTAAGGCTACTCAGAACCTTGATCCTCTCTCACATTTGATGTTTTGTTTGTTTTTTTAAAGTACACTTGTATTGATTTCAGAGAGGGAGGAGAGAAAGAGAGAGACATCAATGATGAGAATCATTGATCAGCTGCCTCCTGCACACTGGGGATCGAGCCAGCAACCTGGGCATGTGCCCTTGACTAGAGTTGAACCTGGGACCCTTCAGTCTGCAGGCTGACGCTCTAGCCACTGAGCCAAACCAGCTAGAGCACATTGGAGGTTCTTAAAAGCACCCCAGTCCTACTAGAGATGAGGCCTCTGGAGGGAGGCCCTGCAGGCGGTCCCCACTCTGCCAGGCCTAGGCCCACAGCCCTTATTTGTCAAAACAGAGCGGATCCATTGTTTCTGTCCATGGGCTACCTTCGGCGTAGGTCTGGGTTCCACATGCCTGCCCAAACCTGCTCCTCCCTGCTGTGGCTCCGTGTGCCTCTGCGGTGTGCTCTCTCCTTAGCTACCTGGTGACCATCGATGAGAGGATTGCAGACTCTCACCTGCTCTGTTCCTGCCAGGAAGACACCAGCCAGGCACTCGAGCTCTGGTGCCAGCCCCTTCCCTCTGCCTGTGGCTGTCCCTCCTTGGGGAGGCTGCCCCAGCTGGCACTCTTCCTCCCAGCACCGACCGACCGACCGACCGACCGACCTGCCCATGCGCCACCTGTCAGTCTTCTCTATCACTGCCCCCTAGTCAGGTTTGCTCAGAGCTCAGTAGAGGATGACCCAGGGTCTCTCAAACAGGCACAAGCTCTCACTGATGGCACCCTGCCCACTCACCCCTCCAGAGGTGCCAAGACTTCATAAATCTTCCTGAGAACTGCCCTGGCCAGTCAGGTGGCCCAGTTGGTTGGAGCGTCGTCCCGCACACCAAAAGGTTCCAGGTTCAATCTCTGGTCAATGTTTCTCTCTCATCAATAAAAACAAAAACAAACAAAAAACATATCCTCGGATGAGGATAAAAAATAGTTATAATTCTTTCTGAAAGCTGAATGCTGAAAGCAAAGTGCTCAAACGTAATTATTGCCCATTTCCCTGCTTAGGTCAACAATATGGAAATGACTAGAGACCATAAATAAAAAATATATGCTTTATAAAGAACACTTGTAGGATGGCCCCTACAGAGGGAGGGATGGGAGCAGAGTCACTGCCGAAATCTGGGGTCACTCTCTGCTGATACTGGCAACTGGTGTCATCCCGCCAACCCCAAAGGACCGAGACATGAAGGGTGGCAAAGGCCCGCTCTCTGGCTCAGCTGTCACTAGTGCTTATTTCTGTTCTTGGTGCTTTTAAATCCTCGCGATGCACCTTGACCAAAACAGATGGTGGAAGGTACTCTGAAATGGAAAAAACCTTCAGACTAAAGAATCATACCTCTACCAACAAACAGCCCAATTCCTAGAGCAGTCTTTTCCTCTTCTTCCAAAATGCTCTTTCACTCCTGGAACATTCCTAATGGCAGCTCTTCCTTCCTGCAGACTCAGCTCTGGGGCTCTGGGGCTCTGGGGCAGCCCCTTACTGTAGCTGGCCAGTGCCTCTGACCTGCTTCCTATGGGGACTGGCTCCCACCACGCTCTCCAGAGCTGACTTCCTGTCACCCTGCCTGCACTGAAACCCTAACTGCCCACTGGTACCTAGACTCACTCGATGGCCAAAGTCCAGGCAGCTGTGCGAAGGCTGCGAAGGGACACAAGTCCTTTTCATGTCAGTTCGGATTCCTTGGCGATTTTTTTTATTTGTCCAACATTTCCCCCAAATTAGATTTGAACTCAAGTTTAACCCAATAAAAGTGCAGTTAATACTAGAAAGACAGACTCACAGTTGTAACCTAAGCAATTACAACTGAGCTTCTCTCTATCCTGCGCTGCTTCTGAACGCGGAAATTAACAGCATGTTGCAAAGAAGCAGTGCAGGAAACGGGGGCAGCACTCTGC